TGGTATAGGAGAAATTATAGATATCGAACAGTACAATTCTTGTTGACAAAGGATATAGTGACGTTACCAATGGTTAAATTAAAACGGCATTAAAAGTAGCGTTAATGTTTGGCATAAATTTAACTGCCTCTAAATCACCGACAGTTGAAGGCATATTAAACAAACTTTCGAATTGTAAATGTTATTGTAAAATTGTGCATCGAAGGACATCACTATAATTAGTTTACCGGTTTACGATGGAAATGTAGAAGTCTGTGCATGTCAAAAAGAAGGACCTACAGTAAGCATTTGAGCATGTAGTGACTTCTAGTTCATTTAACTTTGTGCTGAATATTTTCACCACAACTACCTTTGGTTTCTACGTCTAATAGAATTAATAAGCAACGGTTTTTAAAGGTCTTACATGCATTTTTGTAACACTGTTTTTTTAATTCAAGTTATGGCAAGTACAATGGCAATGTATTTTACATGATTGGGTACTCTCTTCCGAGTAGTTTTAGGGTTCTTTGCATAACGACAAGTTCCATGTTATGCATTACTTTTAGATAAGTAAACAGACAATCCATATGTTCATAAAAATCTTAAGGTAAGATGGTTGAACCATGGCATATGCTTTCCTTCATGGGGCAATCCACTATTTAGCTAGACTGATTTTGAACAGTGATCTAAAGTAATGCTAAAATATTCATAAGTGCTTGTAATTTGTACAAGAGCAATTAATCAACGATCTTATTTTCCATACGTCACTCAATTTGCAAAGAAGGAGATGAAAAAGGTAACGACTGCTTTCAGAACATAGAAATTTCGTGTTTGAAAGTAGTAGATTCATCAATTTAGTACGTATGGAATTTTGAAAATATGCTAAATGCAATGTGGTCACGTTTTAGCAGCAATATTTGAAACTGAATTTCTTGTTTGGTAATGAATCGATAGAAAACAAATCTTTATAGTGTAAACAATTTTCTTGTTTGTTACGATTAGCATCATGGCAATGCTATGAAAAGATGATTGTATTTGAATGATTTTTTGCAAAATTTGCATATTTAACATTTGACTAAACGAAATATTTATTTAGTGGTGCGCCTCCTACTATCAGCGTAAGGTATTATTGAAGCATAGTATGGACTGTTAAAGGACAATTGAAGCATTTTATTACCAACGGAACCTAACTTTACTTTTACTAAAAAGCATATATTAAAAGATAACTGAGTAACATTCAACTGAAAATTGCTAACAGTAACATATTACCCGGTTTTTAAATATCTATTGATTACTGACGAGTACAATTAAATGGCATTCGTTTATTGATGTAAAAGGACGAACCTTATAAGGCCTAACTGACTACTAGTATCTAATTATCAAATAAAATAAAGTTGTGAGTTAATAGTCATTGCAGCAATGGTCTATTTGTATACCACAAATTTACAATTCATAAATTTTTTCATTTTCGTTGTACTGCTAATTTCAGTATCCATTTTTTTTAAGTTCATCATTGATGTTTTACTCGACATAACAAAAAAATGAACAACACAATTATGCATCAAAACATTTCTTTTAACCAACGCAATATATCTTGATTGACCTATCATACAATTTTTTTAATCATTGACTAAAAATTATTGTAAAATGTTAACATTTCTTTACATATTGACAACCAATACATGGAAGTCTAAGCAGAAAACTCATTCAAAGACTATATATATCAAAACTTAGTGATGTTATGTCATTACCATGTCTCAATCATCGTCCTTAATTTTTTTAAGTTTGAATCTTTTGCTGGAAAACATCTTTTGCCAATTGGAACTTAACCTGACAAGATTTTTCATTTGAAAGTACTTAAACTATTTGAGTTTCTGTTTGTGTGAGTCGGAAATGCAAAATTATTGATAGACTCAATATTGTGTTCTAAATTTATAAAATTACAGGGATCTTCTAATGAATTGCTTGGCATATCGAAATGGGAATTTTGGGAACGATCCATATATAATATTTCACTCATGTTAAGTTGTTTGTGCCAATCCCAAATGGAGAGGACTGCATCTTTGGAACGTGTGGAAATTGTTTTTTTTTTATAGCATATAACCCTATGAAAAATACATACACAAAGCTTCTTATCACACAGCGTCCGGTCAGAATGGGGACGTTAAATCCGATGCCTCGTGTAAAGAGAGTGCCACGCTCTTTGCACGTTAAGAACCCTTGCAACAACTCTTTGAGGGGTCCGTAGGTGACCTGTTGCAAGGCTAAATTTCTGTCCCTATCCAATATACCCTCATTTCCCGTGGCAGTCTAAATTTCTCCGACCTTTATCCCTTAATCTATTACAGAACCTACCTATTGTATTTATTGTGAACTTGTTCTCGTCCTGAATATGCATGAAATATTTGCCACTGGACGTTAAGCAACCAACAATCAATCAATCTTATCACACATAGGAATTACAGATTTCACTAAGAATACTCTGGTGGAGAGTTTTCTGATTGGCAATCATACCACATTTTATTATTTTTATAAAGTGATCACATGCTAATTTGGGATTTTTTTGTTATGATAAACAAATAAACGAAAGACCATTTAAAACATAAATGAACTACATGTGAAATACATACTAACAACGTGTCAGAAACATTATCACACTTTGAAACCAAATAATACACCAATGCACAATGGAGTGTTCTTTTGCTTATTTTAAGGATATGGTACCTATTTCGAAATTATAAAATGACACCACTTTGGAACATAATTACGCATACAACTGGTTTGAAAATGCATATAAATATCTTCTTTTCAGAAACCGTCTAAAACCTTTAAATTAAATATTGAATGCATGATACTACGATGATACTAATATTGAGATTGTTGTGTGAACTTGAAGTTCAAAATGGCTGTCACCATATAACACAGTTTAACATAGAACTCTATAAGAGAGACATATGACCAATTTCTCACAAACCATATCACACATTATAACTTAATCGTTTACAAATGAAACAGATTGGGTGCGGTACACCGTGCTGAATAAACATTGCTGCTCCACTATGAAAAAAAACAACACTTTTTAGTCCAGCCCAATAAGAACAAATACAGGGAACCATATCTCCATAATATTACTATTCATGTCATCCTAAACACAGTTTATATTTCCCAAATTATCATGACAAAAATCAACTAATACAAATCCAACAATTACTGTATATACTATTCTGTGTCCACATTTGTTAAAGTAATAAAACACCTTTCAGTACGAGCATAAATTATTGGATAATGTTATGTCTAAATGATATTACACTGGTTGATACATCTTCTTAGCAAAAACAGCCATGAGGAAGGAAAAGAACATATTCAGTGTATACTACTTTCAAAGTGTTAGCAGAATACACACGCCTGTGCATTATTCTCATCTTTAAGATTGAATTTAGAAGCAAATTATATTGGACCGTAGGAAGAAATGTCTTTAAAACTAAGGTAGCAAACTATAAGCTACTGTAGTTAATAAACTCATCATATATACCAGGATTAAAATTGTGTACGCTAGACGCGCGTTTCGTCTACAAAAGGTTCATTAGTGAAGCTCGAATCAAAAAAGGTACAAGGGTCAATTAAGGTACGAAGTTGAAGAGCACAGAGCACCTTAAGTTCCGAGACGTTTTGCTAAATAAGTAGAATTTTACTTAAAATACTAATGGCCAGACATGTTTTATAAATTGGCAATTATGTAGGCATGATAGATACTATGTCAAATACTGTACGGGTTAGCTGCCTTAACTGTACATATCAAGATAGACTATTGTTTACTTCAGAAGAAGAGAGGAGGTGTTATTAATTTAACCATAGGATTACCACATGTATGTATGTACATCCTAGTTTCAGACCAGCAAGAAACCCCTGTAGTTTTTCCAATGCATTACTACATATAAATAACTAGTGCCATTGGTGTGTAATGCTATACTTTTAATTTGCCACAACTTTTTTTTCTATTTTCCCTAAAATTTCAAAGCTTAGTCTGAACCTTTCATCTTCAAATAGAAAGAATTATTTTCACTAACAAAAAAATCTCAAGGATGTTCGCTTCATGTAGATTCATTAAAAAATTAGCCCGCTAACCCTTACTTTTCTTTTCATAAATTTATTACATATTTTAAAAAGCCATATTTGAAAATCTCAAAAAATCCTTTTATTTGTTTTATACTTTGTCAAAAAAAGGTGCCAATGTTAAATGTATGAAAAACTAAAGAGAATCATTTCCTGCCGAATTTTCGTTGGCTTATATTCCGAAAATAATGACACGAACCCTAATTTATTTCTGCTTTTTTAGGTCTGTTATTTATATACTATCAAATAATCACAGTATTTTGAAAAGCTTGTTATCATAGCTATTTTGAAACGGAGTAACGAACATCCTTAAGACATAAATTGCATTACATTCAGATAAACTAAAAAACTGATTAGTGTTAACTTTCGCCAATTATTGAAGCTATACGAGAATGGTTTTGATGCAAAATTTCAGAAAACTCTACTATTGATCTGTAAGTTAAATTTATTCAACACGTAATATAATCCTGGTTGTTATTTACATCTACATTTTAGTGCATTTACTACGATATAAAATTTAAATAACGTAATTCAAATATGTTTTAACAGGATTTCCTATGCGAGATTTGAAGACAGCGAGAGGCATTATGCTATCTTAAATTCTTCCTTTTGCTAAATTATATCTGACTATCACATGTTGACAAAAGCAGTCATGAAAAATGATTTTGTAAAATACTATGATTTAAAGTTATTCTTAACAGTTCAACGTATATCATTTACAAAATATAAAGAATAGAAAAAAACAATATATACTAGTAAGTTAGAGATCCTTTCAGCGGCACAATATTCATTTAATCGTAGATGATATATATACCGTACATGTACACGTCATAGTTTAGAGCAGTAATGAAGTGGTGTTGTAAAATTAACAATCAATTTGTATCTTAATGTATAAATTTACTACAAACCGTAAATCAGGGTCTGTATTTTCATCACTGAAATTATAACTAGGTCGGTTAGTACACACACAGTCATCTGAATTGAAGAACGCCGACTTCATATGCTGTTGTAATATGTGTCGTTTAGAATTATCTTCTGAATTAGGAATGTTTCTTGTGATATTCAAATAATGTCTTCCTGTTTTTTCCCTTTCTAATTTGACAAGAAATGAAACACCACAACTCGTTACATTGCCATAATGTCCATCTGAAATATTCATATGTTTAGTATTGACTCCTTTCGGATCAAATTCGCATATAGGATTTTTATTGTCAGAAGCATCATTCACATTTTGTGCTAAGATGCATTCTATTTCATTCGAAATGCTTTCAACGGGCTCTTCCACACTTTCCGAATCTGTATCCTCCAAAATGTCTTCTTCTTCGGAACTGTCTGTCCATTCGGAATCAGATTCTATCTCAGGTGAAATTCCTGATATATTTTTTCTATAAATACTTTCAGCATTTTCAACAAACGTGTTGATGATATAATCCGAATGCTTATATCTGATATGATTTCCTAATTGACTATGATGCACAAATGTTAACGGACACAGACTACAGGAAACTGGTGGCTGTTTTGCATGGATATAAAGATGAGCTCTCAAACTCAATTCATCCTTAAAAGGGATAAGACAAAATGAACACCAATGTTGTCGTTCCATGGTTGAAATTTGAATTGTTGATATGTTTCGTTTCTTGTAACACCTAAAACAAAAAATAATGTCATTGTAATGTACTGTAAATTTCTTAAATATTATATGCAAAAAGTTTACTTTACTTAAAATATATATTATGCATTTACAAATTTTGAAAAATACATGTAAAGTCACGCTGTAAACACAATACGAAGGGTTGCAATGTAACAGATTTATGTCAACATAATAATTCACACATTGTCTTACGTTTCCGTATTATGAAAATATTATTCATTTCATGAATATTGAAACACAGATACGGTAACAGAAAAAAAGAAATAGGTATAAATATGAATTGTAAGATGACAATCGTTCAGTTAACCGACAGGAGCACTATTTAATTGTGATAATAGTTCAGCATATTAAAAATGAAAATGAAAATCAATGCAGTATTGTTTCAAATATACGTCCTCGAATCAAAATATTCAGTTGAAGTGTCAATCGACTACATTGACTGAAATAGCCTCCTTTATTTTATATAAAAGATTATTTTTCTTCAGGTAATAATAAATGTCAATATCTATAAAAATTTCAATGAAGTTTCTCTGTGCCCTTATTATAAATGTGTACACGTAAAACAGATTGTCTACAGGATGGTTGCATTTGAAGCAAACACTTTTTAATTCACCAACTTTAATTTTTCCTTCTGTAATATTTTTTGTTATGTAACTAGGATAAGATACAGACATATATCCAACAATTTCCTAAAAACAGTTCTACATCATTCAAATTCATAACTTTTTCCGTAAAAGAGGGACGAAAGATACCAGAGGGACAGTCAAACTCATAGATCGAAAACAAACTGACAACGCCATGGCCAAAAATAAAAAGACAAACAAACAAATAATAGTACAGATGACACAACATAGAAAACTAAAGACTAAGCAACACGAAACCCACCAAAAACTGGGGGTGATCTCAGGTGCTCCGGAAGGGTAAGCAGATCCTGCTCCACATGTGGCACCCGTCGTGTTGCTTATGTTATTACAAATCCGGTAAATAGTCTAATTAGGTAAGTCACATTCGTGAAAAGGGAAGGGTATTGTAGTTACGAAATAAGGAACATATCCGATATCATCTGTGAAACGGTTATTCCATAACAGTCAACCAACTCGTGATGGCGTCCGTAAAATTTACGAAGGGATGATTTCAACTTCACCATTTGGAACTCTTGGCTTAATAGCTTCCTTGTGAGCAGCAATCCTCTATCAAGGAAATCATGATAGGAATCACAAGCCCGGGAATATCGTATCAATTGGGAGATATATACTCCGTATGCAGGCGCTGCTGGAATGTTGCTACATAGAAATGGAAAGTTCACAATTGGGAAGCTGAAATCATCTCTTTTGTCGTAAAGTTTTGTTTTCAACCGACCCTCATTGTCAATTTCTAGATGTAAGTCAAGATGTGATGCAGACTTAACTGTATCTGAAGTATCCTATTTGTAAATTATTTGTTATTTCTACAACGAAAGTAATTAAAAATTATGGGCTGTGAATTGTGATCACACAAAACATGAACATATATTTTGCACCTTAAACAACCAGATTAATATGATGATTAAATGATATTTCCATGGGATACATTTTGTTATTAGCATGATATTTGAATGAACAAGCAACTATGATCGTTGGAGTTTTCAATCTTACTTCAGTTTGTTGTGCAAAGCCCTAGGACTTACATGATTTTACTGATAAAGGTTCTGGGTATTTTTATAAAGTATGACCCTGAGGGCAAATATGTTCATTTCCTTATTTTGCTATCTGTTATATTATAGTTGACATTTGCTGTTTTTGCTATCTAGAAATTATAAAGCACCATTATAGTATTGACAAGTCTGCCTCGAACCAGTCCTATAGACCTGCCCCATACCATACCATACCAGAAATATTGACAGGTCGTATTTTGACCGTTCCTGTCAATAGGTCAACTCCTGACTTGACCTTAGGACAGGTATACTTTCGACAGATTGTTTAGTTTTACACTTTTAATATCAGACCTAACCTATGGTTTTAAAACGATACAGTCCTTGGATGGTGTAACCTTCCCACTAACACCATACACCATTACACCATTAACCATACACCATTACACCATACACCCTGTGCCATTACACCATACACGTTACACCTTTGCACCATACACCTTACACATTACACCATAATGCAATTTAATTTCAAAGAAAGCGTGCGACTACTAAATTATTTATTTATTTCAAAAAACGAATTTTGATCACAATATTGTAAATTAATGTATAAAATTAAAAATCAGTTCTTATCAATATTTTGCATAGTTTTAAATGTCGTACACCATTCATTCACACTATTCCCGATCGCACGTTACACCATCACACCATTCCCCTTACACCATACACCATAGCACCATACACCTTCTACCATTGCACCATATGTCATACACCATTACACCATATTCGTTTTTTTTTGGGGGGAAGTTTACACCATCCAATGGCTGTAATGGTATCGATTTAGTTTCTAAAACAGCAAACTACTATATTCTTTACATTGTGACTCTTTATATACACATTTAGATTTATTTTATCATTGATTCTCGTATGTATAAAATAATGTTAAAAAAAATTCGCATATATATATATATAGACCCACTTCAGTCTAGGTGCCCGAGTGGTCTAGAGCGCTGGACACAGTGCAGGCGGTGCTGTCACGATATCCCAATAGCATGAGTTCGAATCCCGGCGAGAGAAGAACTAAGATTTGCTTCCGCAAATTTGCAGATTTAACATTGTTGTGCTGATATTTAGAGTAATTATAAATATAATATGTGTTTTCAGCCGTGTATCACCTTCACTGGTGATCCAATCGATGGATCTGTCGTAGAGTTCTCACTTGTTTAGACGTACCTATACACACACATATATATATATATATATATATATATATATATATATATATATATATATATATATATATATATAAGTGCCTATAAATAGCAGCACATGACATACAAATCTATGGGAGTGTGGATTAATCAGTACAGAGATTAATTCAATTACACAAATAAAATTATAGATTGCCTAACAATGTAATTTTAACACACTATTTAGTATGTAAATATAAGAATGTTTTAAATATTTACAAAATGATGTCTTCTTTATATACCAACATTCCACAAGACGAAGGAATAGCAGCGTGTGAAGAGGTATGGAACACTCGTAGTGAAAAAAATCCTCCAACTGAGTGCCTTGTTACACTTCTGAAACTAGTGCTAGAGAACAACAACTTCTCTTTCAATGAAAAACATTATCTCCAGATAGACGGTATTAGTATGGGCACAAAAATGGCCCCGTCATATGCCAACATATTTAAGGGCCAACTTGAAAAACGCCTCTTGGCTAGTGCTCCATACCAGCCCTTATCATGGTTCCGATTCATTGACGATATTGATTTCAAATGGACAGATTCACAAGAACATCTTAATGAATTTCTAGGAAACTGTAACACTTTCCACCATTCAATAAAGTTTACATATGAATCATCTTTAGAGAAAATAAACTTCCTCGACACTTCGAGTTACATCAAGAACGGAACCATTATAACGGACCTTCATACCAAACAAACGGACAAACATCAATTCCTTTCTCCTAAAAGTTGCCATCCTAAACACTGCTCCCGTGGCATCCCATTCAGCCAGGCATTGCGAATCAAGAGAATATGCTCTACTGAAAATACGAAAAATGCTAGACTTGGACAACTACGTAAACATCTAGTTGTTCGAGGATACAATAACAACATAATTGATAGCGCTTTCGAAAGTGCAAACAAAACTAGTCGCCAAGAACTTCTAGAGTACAAAGATAAGAATAAAGCAGCTAACAGAACACCCCTTGTACTCACTTACCATCCTGATTTTAAAAATGTGTCTTCCATTGTTCAGAAGCATTGGAAAATTATAGAAAATGATTCAAATCTTAAAAAAGTATTTTCCCCACCACCAGTTATGGCCTTCAGAAGACCTAAAAACATCCGTGACAAATTAGTGACATCTGTATTAGCAAAGCAGCCTACTCTATCTCCCGGTTGCTACAAACAATGTGGTCGAAGGAACTGCTTGTGTTGTAAAGCTGCCAATACAAGCAGTTCTTTCATCAGCTCCGTTACTAAACAAAATTATACCATCTACTCAAATTCCAACTGTAAAACGGAGAACTCAATTTATATATTAACATGTGACACTTGTGGCATTCAGTATGTGGGAGAAACAATGGACAAATTTAATATTCGGCTCAATAACCATCGTTCATGGTACAAAACCAACAAAAACTGTCCTCTCACAAGACATCTTCGTTCAACGAAACATTCTTTTGATAAGGTTACTTTCCAAATCATAGAAGTCAACACCGAGTGGGACACCACGGCGAGAAGGAGAAGAGATAATATTGGATCCACCAACTCCACACTTTAGAACCTGATGGTCTTAACGAAAAAGATGAGAAAAGATACAGGAAAGATAAAGAATAATTTAGTACACAGCATCGTCCTTTATATCCTGTAATATTGGCCAATGGACGTTGCTAACTTCAACTACCAATTTTGTAAAAATCTTGAACTTCATCCAAATTATGTATTATTTTCAAGGCAGCTAAATTCAAGTGCAACATATACATTGAGCTGCAAAAGTTTCTTATCATCTACATCCGATTTCACCTGGATAGATCTACGCTTGATAAAGCTAGTTAGTCTAGCGAAATATTGCGTTTATTTTCATCATTTTGTAAATATTTTAAACATTCTTATATTTACATACTTAATAGTGTGTTAAAATTACATTGTTAGGCAATCTCTATATATATATATATATATAAGCTTATTTTCCAATTTTGACAGTCTCCTCCTTAATATATGCTTTACATTACATGGATTTTGCATAGTAAATTACTTTGTTGGCCTTGTATTTATGATTATATTTTCGATGGAATGGTCAAAAGAATCTGAATAGTGCCCGGATATATAATTATAAAGTATTGTATAATTT